AAGGTCCATGCATGTGACCAAATAGGCTCATTCTATTGGCCTAGTTGCTCATTAATTATGTATGAGTTTTTTAACTAGTAATACAATACTTGTCGCAGGAAAGAGGACATTTTAATTTTAGGTACGAATAGCGTTTTGAGTGAACTCCGTGTCAGCCATTCTAAAACTAAAATAGGATTTGAAAAGATGAGCGACGTGTCCCTTAATGCTGTAAAGACTATCAAGTCAACCTGAACAAAACTCTCTTACAAACAACAACAAATGAATGAAATATGAGGAAACTTTCAGTTTCTTGAACGTCCGCAACTTTCACTTGCTTTTATCTAAGCATGGGTCTGTCCCACGGTAATGAGCAAGCTATTAGATAAAAAGGGAAATGCTTAAAGCATCTTAAAGTAATGAGGTAGACTTCTCTTAGTCTAAAATTCCCAATTGTAAGCTAATCCAAAGTAATCGTTACAGAGAATTACGTTTCATCTTCCTGTGGCTGCAGTGGAAGCATTACTAGCMGCATGAACTGAAATATGAGGAAAAATTATAATTTTTATAATGAGCTATGTATTCAACTAAAAAGAATACCAAACACTCTTTGTGCTAGAACTGAACTTGTAGACGGCAGATATAGAATCGTTTCTGATCGTTTTATCTTTGACGTCATGATCTGTTCCATTGTAAATCCTGTCTTCAGCGATTTTAAGATTACAGACTGATCTACGGATTTACGGACCACATCCTGCCCGTGGAGGGACTGGGTTCCAGGGCTTAGCTCAGCAGGGGTTGGATATAACATGTTGGTTATCAAMGAGGTTATTCTCTCTCTCAAGCTTACCATCAAAGATTGCACTCGGGACGATAGCCTGACCATTTGGGCCTGACCTCGAGGAAGCTTACAACATCCAAGCTTTCCTCGTTAACACAAGTAAGTGACTCTTTGCGAAGTAATTGTTATACTGAGCCAATTTATTATAGAATATAAATTTTAAAGATTGTGTTATATTATACATGTATAATATATTGTTTCTCTCTGTGATTTGATGTGAATGCCTTGCACAACGTTCGCCGCACATTGCTTCATCGTGCCCTTGATATTATTTTATTATTCAATATTTTGTTTCTAAACGTACAACCAAAAGACATACATACAATCTGTGTTGGTGAAATTGCCCGGCGATTTCGTAAAAGATGATAGTACATTTTACTACCCAATAAATAACTATAACAAATTAATTCTCTACCGCTAAAGATTTGGAGAAATCTTCGCAGCGTCGCAGGATGCATGATTGGACATCGTTTYTGCCGTCTTCGTTGCGCGATACTGTGGCGTGATATTGATACATTTGCGAATTGTTTCTTAAAATCTTTGACATGTCATCTTATTRCAACAAATTCGGCTCGTAAATTTTTTGGACGAGTCCCCGATTAAAAAAAAACTAATGTACGCGCGCACGGATATATCGTAAAGCGAATGAACCGGTCTAAGAAATTATTGCAATATGTGCGCTCTCTATGCAGAAACGAAAAACTTAGGTCAGTTTATTCAAGACAAGAAAAAATACTTTGATAATAAGGATTGATTGACACTCTTTGTTAGCTACCGGAAATAAAGCTCAAAATCCAGTCGATGCCGTCCTGGTCACGTGATCAGCAGTTCACCGCAATGAAAATTCGGACATCTTGTGCGCTGTTGAGAGTTCTTTGTTTCCGACGAGGGAATTAATTTACTCGAGAGTAGCATTTGAGTCATTCAAGATCTGACTTATTTTAATAAAAAAAAATAATAAAAAAAGATAAATATATAGAAAAGTTCGATTTGGTTTTCCTTCGAAAAGACTAGTGGTTTTCAGTGTAAACAAAGACTTTCCCAGTACTCATGAACCATWTGTGGGGTAGCAAAAATATCAGACAGATCAATAATGTAAAAGAGACGTTTAGCTTGTAACTACCTCCCGTAGACTTAACTTTTGAAGTGTTGATTACTTGCAAAGAACGCAAACCTTGACCAGTGACGCTGTGCGCAATAAGAGTGAAAGACAGATATGCTTACGTAAAAGGCTTTTCTTCATATTTTGCCCTCACTAAAAATGTGAAATCATCTTTTCCAAAATAGTAAACGCCAGATAAAAATTAACGCTTTGTTTGCTGAAATATAACCTCCTTTTTCAGATAGTTTAAACCGTATTAACTTCAAAAGATCATAAAGTGGCCTTTTTATAATAGAACTTGTTTCTCAGTCATTTTTAAGAGGGCAATGCCGGCTGGCTTTCGCAATTAAACCACCCCTCCCCCTATTAGTAACGCTCGGCGACAGGAAATTGTTATTGAGAAAGACCACAGATTTTTGAGCTTAATAGATTTATATATACAAGATTACGGATACTAGGGATTAGTGAGTTCATAACCACAAATTAGGGATATCATTTGCATTGTCTGTATAAACAAGAAGACTGGGTATCGGCCTCCCTCGCAGATGGACTGTTCCTGCAGAGAAATTTCCTCATTCGGATTGAAACAGTCAGTCGTGATTCCTGAAATTGAAGCTTGCGAGGGTTTTTTTTTAATTTTGTCACGATTTTTGAGAGTAAGAGCGTGACTTAGAACTATCATTCTGACTGTGTTTTTTTAC